TCCTGTTTTCAATCTCCAACCCTGTTTTGTGTGATACGTGACAGAAAGGGGGCCCTAACCCAATCTGAGATCCTGTTTCCAATCTCCAACCCTGTTTTCTGTGGCACGTGACAAAGAGGGGTCCCTAAGCCAAGGCATACACCGTGAAAACAGCGTTTCAATCTGAGATCCTGTTTTCAATCTCCAACCCTGTTTTCTGTGCTACGTGACAGAAAGGGGGCCCTAAGCCAAGCCGTATACGGTGAAAACAGCGATTCAATCTCCAACCCTGTTTCCTATCTTCAACCCTGTTTTCTATGACACGTGACAAAATGGGGGCCCTAAGCCAAGCCGTATACGGTGAAAACAGCGATTCAATCTCCAACCCTGTTTCCTATCTCCAACCCTGTTTTCTGTGACACGTGACAAAATGGGGGCCCTAAGCCAAGCCGTATACGGTCAAAACAGCGATTCAATATCCAACCCTGTTTCCTCTCTCCAACCCTCTTTTCTGTGACACGTGACAAAATGGGGGCCCTAAGCCAAGCCGTATACGGTGAAAACAGCGATTCAATCTCCAACCCTGTTTTCAATCTCAACCCTGTTTTCTGTGACACGTGACAAAATGGGGGCCCTAAGCCAAGACATACACCGTGAAAACAGGCATTCAATCCTCAACCCTGTTTTCAATCTCAACCCTGTTTTCTGTGACACGTGACAAAATGGGGGCCCTAACCCCAGGCATACACAGTATCAACAGCGATTCAATCTCCAACCCTGTTTTCAATCTCCAACCCTGTTTTCTGTGACACTTGACAAAATGGGGGCGCTAAGCCAAGACATACACAGTGAAAACAGGGAGTCAATCTCCAACCCTGTTTTCAATCTCCAACCCTGTTTTCTGTGACACGTGACAAAATGGGGGCCCTAACCCTAACCCTAACGAAATCAGGGTTGAAAAACAGGGTTCAAAAACAGGATTGAAAACCAGGGTTGAAAAACAGGGTTGAAAAATAGGGTTGGAAATCAGGGTCGAAAAACAGGGTTTAAAAACAGGGTTGAAAATCAGGGTTGAAAAACAGGGTTGAAAAACAGGGTTGAAAATCAGGGTTGAAAAAGAGGGTTGAAAAACAGGGTTGGAAAGCAGGGTTGAAAAACAGGGTTGGAAATCAGGGTTGGAAATCAGGATTGGAAAACAGGGTTGAAAAACAGGATTGAAAAATAGGGTTGAAAAACAAGGTTGGAAAACAGGGTTGGAAAACAGGGTTGAAAATCAGGGTTGAAAAACAGGGTTGAAAAACAGGGTTGGAAAGCAGGGTTGAAAAACAGGGTTGGAAATCAGGTTTGGAAAACAGGGTTGAAAAACAGGGTTGAAAAACAGGGTTGAAAAACAGGGTTGAAAAACACTGTTCCAAAGTAGGATTTGTTGGCTGGAGATCAGGCGTTTCATAACAGGATTTCACAACAGCGTACCAGAACAGGATTCGAAAAGAGGGGGTCAAACAGGATTTGAGAAGGGTTTGAGGTGGGGATTTTGAAGCGGGATGTTGGGGCATTAGGATAAGGTGTTCAGAAAGATGTGCAGCACTTGGTTCATGAGGGAAAACAATTATTTTAGACATTGGAAAACGTTGTATTCTCTATGGCAAAGATTTTTGTGCCTCTGACCGACTTTGCCTGTTGTGCGTGGGATCCAGGGGGGGCCGAGTGGTGCTCCAACAGCAGTACCACCGATACAGAACTGAAGTTCAAACGAAACAGGGCAACAGCAGATGACAAAAGGATTTGGGTCACATATTAAGCGTCCCTACGATTATTTACTCCGTGTTCTATAGGAGTGTACCCCCACGAACATGGTTTACTCGTTCACTTAGTAAAATGTTCGGCAAAGGGTACTCTAACCACACCGAGAAGAACAAAGGCGATTCGAGGGAAACCCGGCATCAGACCCACCCAGACCCTCGCAATTCGTCCACCGGCAATCAGAATAAACCCAAGCAGTGGCTCCACTCCCAAACGCATCTCCAAACCCCATGATTTGTACTGGAAATACATACTACCGACGCAAATCGAAAGATAAACCAAACAACGACAGCAACGGCACTACAATACACCCAACTGCATGGGAAAATGTGCAACTGGCCTGGTTGAAAGCTGCGGTGTGTCCCACATCCGCGGAAAGAGCGTCACGCGACCGCTGATGTACAGCTCCGGCCCTTACACGAAAGAAAACTCGGCTCCAATCACCGCCCTACCCTGTGCCTTGATAAACAAATATGAGCAGTACGCTCTTCCGCGCACTGCGCACAAACTGGCAAGGCCAGCTCTCTTATCTGCTCGTACCCGAAAAATATAAACCAGGAAGCCTCGATAATCTGGACGACCAAATCCACCCTAGCGCACAGACGAGTGCGATAGGATGGGCTACAAAACAATAAACCAATATCCAAACAGAATACGACACCTACTGGACAAGTACCCTAAGGTCTACGAGCATGTGTTCCGAAGCAGCTCTGAGGGCGGAACTGTTCAAGGTTCCCCGCAAGATCGAGCAATGTGCCCTTGAGCGAAAGGAAATCAGGTCCAACAACACCCTCCGAACTCAGGAGTACTAACCCTCTCGTAACCAACCATTTGCAGCCAGAGTGCACCACCAAAAGCAAACAAGCACAGTAACCCCACAATATCACCAACATCATGATCGGCATTGTCCTGCTAGCCGTTCTGCGATCGATGACAGGAGAACCGAAGTCTCAGAACCTGAAGCGCTTCATACCTAGACGTCACACACACGTAGCGCAAACGGCCGTATACGATCCTTCCAATGTATGTATGTACCTTGAACGAATCTTTCTTCGACGATGCGGTGTCCAGAAGCTACACCCAGGATATACCTTACATTTTTCTTTTTTGTGCACCCCTATTGCTCAGATGGATTTCTTATTGTGATAGCAATTCGAGTATCGTCGCGTTACCTGTCTGAAGCTTTCCAGTCTTTTTGCGGTTAATAAAGTCGAGGGCGCCTAACGCGACACGCTCGCTCACCGAGCACGACCAAGCTGTACACAGAGTAGATGACATGTATATGTAAGATATCACACTTGTTAATGTTCAAACCTCTAATACTCCACTCCTGCTTTCGCGGCCGGGCGGCGTTGGGAACCGATAGCTTTCCGAAGACAAACGTATCGTTTGACATCCATCCTCTTCGTCGTGGACTACTGTATCATTATTAGCTGCGATTATTGATGAAGGGGTTGTGATATATAATGTCCCCTACTCGAGGTACATGCTTTGCATGTGATGCCCAAGAAAAAGGAGCGCCCTCCTACTCCAGGTATAGTTTTACAGTCAAATTTACACCTCTCATTACCCATCTCCCTACGAAGAAGTCGTTCATAAAGCGAAAAGAACCCTAGAATATTAGAGGCGACCTCACGCGCACCCGAACTAACCGTCAGTCTTCGACCGGCACTTCTCCCTACGTCCATCCATCCATGCTTATGCACTCTTTTGTGTCGAGCGACTCCATGCTTTCTTTCAAGAATCCCGCTAAACATCTCGTTGATTTGTTTCTTTTCGCTAAACATCTCGTTGATTTGTTTCTTTTCGTTTGCAACATGTACTACTGTAGCACGCGCGATCACACCCGAATGAAAAGGAGACCACCAGAACGCGCTCTCCGCACGCTGGGAACTACTCCGGGACTAAATGAATGCGGACGCCAAGAAGATGCACTTTTCAAATTTGGCTTCCTCTCCGGAACGAAAGAGTCGGACGGGAGAGAGGGAAAAAAGTAGAGGCGTAGTGCGCGTTCCCCGTCATGGACATGACACAAGAGGCGTATTGCGGTGGTGGGATGAACCTCTCTCTGCACGATCAGGTCAGAAGGCCACCAGTCCCCGGGGCTTTTCGGCGCAAAAATACGAAAATCGCGCAAATGAACTCATGCTACAAGGCGCCCCCCCCCCCCAGTGGGCTCATCAGAGCAAAATGGCCACAGCAGTAATGTGTAGACGTGAATTCAACTGCCAGCTGCCATCACTGACGTTGCCCAGGCTCGAACAACCCAGCGAACCTTAACAACCCAAAAAGTTAAGTTTACAAATATGTATGCAGTCTTGTTAAGAT